ATCGCCCCCCAGTTCAAACTTTAAAATTCAAGCCTGACGTATATCTTCTCAAAACTCGAATGACCTGACTTCGTGAACTGCTCTGAATGAACTCCCTTGACCTGCCACTGAGGTCGAAAAATAAATTTGACAAGACCAAACCAAGATAAAGTGCAACCGACCTGCTTGTGCCGTAATGAGTCCCATCTCCCTGCCCTTGAAGTCGAAAAATCAATTCGAAAAAATCAAGATAAAATGCAATCAACCTGTTCGAACTATCCAAAATAAACTCCATCGACCATTGGGATCAAAAGCACCAATACAGCAGAACAAAACTAGATAAAACCATAAACCTGCTCGAGATATCTGTAGCAAGTTTGATCGACCTGCCACTGAGGTGAAAAGCACAAATACCACGAAGCCAAATCAAATGGATTCATTAACCTGCTCGAGCTATCCGTAGCAAGTTTGATCGACCTGCCACTGAGGTGAAAATCACAAATACCACAAAGCCAAATCAAATGAATTCATTAACCTGCTCGAGCTATCCGTAGCGAGTTTGATCGACCTGCCACTGAGGTGAAAATCACAAATACCGCAAAGCCAAATCAAATGAATTCATTAACCTGCTCGAGCTATCCGTAGCGAGTTTGATCGACCTGCCACTGAGGTCCGCTCGAGCTATACATGTCTTCGCACTTGCCCACCCAATCCAAAGGATGTTCGAAACAGGAGGCCACCCAGCCCGAAGGCATGGGCTTTCCGACCAACCTGCCCACCCCAAGGGGGTACTAAACAAGCGACCACCCAGCCCGGGAGCCTTAGTCATGGTGGGTTTTGTCTTCGTACTGCTCGAATTATCCATAAGGAACTCTCTCAACCTGCCACTGGGGTTAGGAACGAATATACAGTAATACCAGATCAAATAGAACCAAGTATAAATCATCGACCTGCCTCTGAGGTCTGCTCGAGCTATCCATGTCTTCACACTTGCCCACCCATCCAAGGGATGTTCGAAACAGGGGGTCAACCTGCTCATCCTAAGGGGTATACTAAACAAGCGACCACCCAGCCCGGAGGCCTTAGTCGTGGTGGAATTTGTCTTCAGGCACTTGCCGACCCCGGGAGGGCCTTCCGAAACAAGCAACCACCCAGCCCGGAGGCCTTAGTCATGGTGGATTTGTCTTCACACTTGCCCACCCATCCGAGGGATGTTCGAAACAGGGGGCCAGTCTGCCCATCCCAAGGGGTGTACTAAACAAGCGACCACCCAGCCCGGAGGCTTTAGTCATGGTAGAATTTGTTTTTAGGCACTTGCCGACCCCGGGAGGCCTTCCGAAACAAGCGACCAACCAGCCCGGAGGCCTTAGTCATGGTGGATTTTGTCTCCACACTTGCCCACACATCTGAGGGATGTTCGAAACAGGCGGCCAACCTGCCCATCCCAAGGGGTGTTCAAAACAAGCGACCCTCGCCCACCCCTATCGTAGGATCAGGGATGTTCCGAAAACGAGGGACTTTGATCTTCTCACTTGCCTACCCCGAGGGAGTGTTCAAAACAAGCGACCCTCGCCCACTCCTATCGTAGGATCACGGATGTTCTGAAAATGAGGGACTTTGATCTTCTCACTTGCCCACCCCGAGGGAGTGTTCAAAACAAGCGACCCTCACCCACCCCTTGGTCGGGATGTTCGAAAACAAGGGACTTTTTCCTTCACTCGGACGACCTGCCATTGAGGTCGAAAGAAAAACACCAAACACAACAAGATAGGATAGTAATGGATCATTTTTGTTAATGTCCGCAAATGTATAATTATGCCGAACGGGATAATAATAGAAAATATTCAATGTATTTGACCTCCCTTTCCTGGTTGTGCATGATAATCTGTGCTCGAATTCCTCGACCTGCCACTGAGGTCGAAAAGGAAAAGATCGAACACAACAAGATATAATAACACCCGATTATTTTGTTAGTCATCCAAATAATAATCCCAACCATGTCCCTAATGCCTCACAATCTCCTCCACATTTCAAATATATCCACAAATAAATCACATAAGCTCCTCAAACAAATCAACTAATAGCTAACAAATCAAATAACATCCACTAATAAATCACATAAGCTCCTCGAACAAATCGAATAATAGCTCCTCGCCCAAATCGAATAATATCCATCAATAAACCACATAAGTTCCCCGAATAAATCAAATCAAATAATACTCCATGAATAAATCACATAAGCTCCTCGAGTAAATCAACTAATAGCTAACAAATCAAATAACATCCACTAATAAATCACATAAGCTCCTCGAACAAAACGAATAATAGCTCCTCGACCAAATCGAATAGTATCCATTAATAAACCACATAAGTTCCTCGAATAAATCAAATCAAATAATACTCCATGAATAAATCATATAAGCTCCTCGAATAAATCAAATAATAGCTAGTCGACCAAATCAAATAATTGCCTCAAATAAGTCAAACAACTTCCACGGAAAAATCGCATAATCCTCATGACTTAGTTAAATAATGTATCCTCGAATATATCAAGTGATCTCCACGAGTAAGTTACTGCACAAATAAATCCAATATTTTATCCACTTTCACCCATTTAAAAATCTTTGAGCCATGATTTAAATTAATCCCATACCTTGCGGCTAGCACCATGATAATGTTACCTCAAATTACCTCACATTATGGCATTATTGTTGAATTGTTCTCGGATTAGTTTGAGCGCAAAATAGGGTTGTTTCTGCTTGTTGGGCCGCACTTGAGGAGATTTAGGCTGCTGATAAACGTGTTGGGCCGCGAGGAGGGGGTTGGAGTGAAGTGGGCCGCACGCGGGCCGGGAGCTGTTGGAGTTGGGCTGC